GAGGAGGATGGTCCTCCACTGGCTGATACATTTCACTACTATATACATATTGTAGGTACATTTATTGTACCTAATGCAACTTCCCTGAGAATGTATGCAGGTGTGTACAGTGCTGTTACAATAAATGGCTATTTGGCAGAATATAAACTTATGGCAATCACGTATCAGTTTTGTTTTCATTCTGCAAAATAAAAATGATATGCCAAGGAGCGGGGTAGTTCAAGATTCAAGTTTCTGCGCCAATTATTGCTATATACACTAGGTGACATCCAGGGGCGCTGTTTTGAAGCTACCGTGCCTCCATCTTGGCACTGCCCCACCGTTGTAAAACATATTTTGGAAGCTATAGAAATGCATTTATTGTCCACATTCGTTTTTGCCACATGTATTATATTGCAGACACTTTAATGCATACTTCGAAATTATATTATGTGAGCTAAACATATGTATAAACATTTTCCTTAAAGTATATATTTTTAGATAACTAATGTACTGTTACCACTACAACAACAATAATAATTAAATACATGTAATTTTGTCTTTGAAACATTTAATTGAAATACTGTAAAATTCCATTAATTCCTATGGAGGACTGCTCCTACTGGGGAGTGCCAATATGGCCAACTGGTGGCTCCAAAGCCTCTCAATGATCAATACATAGCATTCACAATCCAGGGTTTATATACATAATTGGTTTGCACTGGTCTCTGATTTCTAAAGTTGATTATTCATCATATAAATAAGCACTGTTCAGAAAAAACGAGTGATTCTAGAGTCACTAGTGTTGAAATAACTATTTGAATATATTCCCACTGGAAAATAATATGGAAAATAGTATTTCTACAAGCATCTCCTCTCTACCACTTATCTGACCTTCTCCTTTCCTCCTTTATATAGTACACAGCGCCAGTACATTTACATTTACATTTACGTCATTTAGCAGACGCTCTTATCCAGAGCGACTTACAAATTGGTGCATTCACCTTATAGCCAGTGGGATAACCACTTTACAATGTTTTTTTTTTGGGTGGTGGGGTGGGGTAAGGGGGGGGGGGGGGGTAGAAGGATTACTTTATCCTATCCCAGTTATTCCTTAAAGAGGTGGGGTTTCAAATGTCTCCGGAAAGTGGTGAGTGACTCCGCTGTCCTGGCGTCGTGAGGGAGCTTGTTCCACCATTGGGGTGCCAGAGCAGCGAACAGTTTTGACTGGGCTGAGCGGGAACTGTGCTTCCGCAGAGGTAGGGGAGCCAGCAGGCCAGAGGTGGATGAACGCAATGCCCTCGTTTGGGTGTAGGGACTGATCAGAGCCTGAAGGTACGGAGGTGCCGTTCCCCTCACAGCTCCGTAGGCAAGCACCATGGTCTTGTAGCAGATGCGAGCTTCAACTGGAAGCCAGTGGAGTGTGCGGAGGAGCGGGGGTGACGTGAGAGAACTTGGGAAGGTTGAACACCAGACGGGCTGCGGCATTCTGGATGAGTTGTAGGGGTTTAATGGCACAGGCAGGGAGCCCAGCCAACAGCGAGTTGCAGTAATCCAGACGGGAGATGACAAGTGCCTGGATTAGGACCTGTGCCGCTTCCTGTGTAAGGCAGGGTCGTACTCTCCGAATGTTGTAGAGCATGAACCTACAGGATCGGGTCACCACCTTGATGTTAGCAGAGAACGACAAGGTGTTGTCCAGGGTCACGCCAAGGCTCTTCGCACTCTGGGAGGAGGACACAACAGAGTTGTCAACCGTGATGGCGAGATCATGGAACGGGCAGTCCTTCCCCGGGAGGAAGAGCAGCTCCGTCTTGCCAAGGTTCAGCTTGAGGTGGTGATCCGTCATCCATACTGATATGTCTGCCAGACATGCAGAGATGTGATTCGCCACCTGGTTATCAGAAGGGGGAAAGGAGAAGATTAGTTGTGTGTCGTTTGCGTAGCAATGATAGGAGAGGCCATGTGAGGATATGACAGAGCCAAGTGACTTGGTGTATAGCGAGAATAGGAGAGGGCCTAGAACTGAGCCCTGGGGGACACCAGTGGTGAGAGCATGTGGTGCGGAGACAGCTTCTCGCCACGCCACTTGGTAGGAGCGACCGGTCAGGTAGGACGCAATCCAAGAGTGAGCCGCGCCGGAGATGCCCAGCTCGGAGAGGGTGGAGAGGAGGATCTGATGGTTCACAGTATCAAAGGCAGCAGACAGGTCTAGAAGGACAAGAGCAGAGGAGAGAGAGTTAGCTATAGCAGTGCGGAGAGCCTCCGTGACACAGAGAAGAGCAGTCTCAGTTGAATGACCAGTCTTGAAACCTGACTGGTTTGGATCAAGAAGGTAATTCTGTTCTGAGAGAGATAGCAAGAGAGTTGGCTAAAGACGGCACGCTCAAGAGTTTTGGAGAGAAAAGAAAGAAGGGATACTGGTCTGTAGTTGTTGACATCAGAGGGATCGAGTGTTTTTTTTTTGTTGAGGAGGGGTGCAACTCTCGCTCTCTTGAAGATGGAAGGGACATAGCCAGCGGTCAAGGATGAGTTGATCAGCGAGGTGAGGTAAGGGAGAAGGTCACCGGAGATGGTCTGGAGAAGAGAGGAGGGGATAGGGTCAAGCGGGCAGGTTGTTGGGCGGCCGGCCGTCACAAGTCGCAAGATTTTATCTGGAGAGAGAGGGGAGAAAGAAGTCAAAGCATAGGGTAGGGCAGTGTGAGCAGGACCAGCAGTGTCATTTGACTTAACAAACGAGGATCGGATGTCGTCAACCTTCTTTTCAAAATGGTTGACGAAGTCATCCACAGAGAGGGAGGAGGGGGGGGGGAGGGGGAGGAGGATTCAGCAGGGAGGAGAAGGTGGCAAAGAGCTTCCTAGGGTTAGAGGCAGATGCTTGGAATGTAGAGTGGTAGAAAGTGGCCTTAGCAGCAGAAACAGATGAAGAAAATGTAGAGAGGAGGGAGTGAAAAGATGCCAGGTCCGCAGGGAGTCTAGTTTTCCTCCATTTCCGCTCGGCTGCCCGGAGCCCTGTTCTGTGAGCTCGCAATGAGTCATCAAGCCACGGAGCTGGAGGGGAGGACCGAGCCGGCCGGGAGGGTAGGGGACATAGAGAGTCAAAGGATGCAGAAAGGGAGGAGAGGAGGGTTGAGGAGGCAGAATCAGGAGATTGGAGGGAGAAGGATTGAGCAGAGGGAAGAGATGATAGGATGGAAGAGGAGAGAGTAGCGGGAGAGAGAGACCGAAGGTTGCGACGGCGCATTACCATCTGAGTAGGGGCAGAGTGAGTAGTGTTGGAGGAGAGCGAGAGAGAAAAGGATACAAAGTAGTGGTCGGAGACATGGAGGGGAGTTGCAGTGAGATTAGTAGAAGAACAGCATCTAGTAAAGATGAGGTCAAGCGTATTGCCTGCCTTGTGAGTAGGGGGGGACGGTGAGAGGGTGAGGTCAAAAGAGGAGAGGAGTGGAAAGAAGGAGGCAGAGAGAAATGAGTCAAAGGTAGACATAGGGAGGTTGAAGTCCCCCAGAACTGTGAGGGGTGAGCCATCCTCAGAAAAGGAACTTACATGGTAAGTCATCACAGCACAGGAATTCTCTTTATGCAGGATTTAATAGTTAATTGTTGATGGCACTGCTTTTCTGTTCAAGGTTTAAAAACTTTGTCGCATGATGATCGCCAGTCTGTAGACTATACCACCATCTGTGGTAGGCTACAATGCAAAAAGCTAATAAGTGACGAATTGGCACTTGTCAGAATGGAAACTTTGTCAATACAGCTACGATTCAGTTTCGGTTTCGTTTCATTTGCGAGCTGCAGAAGGGTTATATATTGTCATCTACTGAGTATGTTTTGGCTTTGTAGGCTACGTCCATGTACTTGTGCATTACAAAAAACAACTCACTGTATTCAACAAGATGAGTTAAGAATTTTAGTCCGAAAATTAGACAGGATCTCTAGGTGCGATATAAATATATGTAACATTTTTATTGTATTTTATCAATGAATTCAATGCACACTTTGGCATCATTTCTCCTTGATATCATGATTTATTTAGCGTATACTACCATTTGTGTAATTTCGTATTGATAATAATACCTATAATCGACTTGACATAACACACTAATAAACCGTGTGGTGTGCTGCTTCAGTTCAATTCAATTTACATTTTATTTATCCAGAGGGACAAGTATTGCTGGGCATTGTCAGAATGGAAACTTTGGCAATACAGCTACGATTCAGTTTCGGTTTCCTGTCTTTTACGAGCTGCAGGGCTATATATTGCCATGGAGTGAGTAAGTTTCGGCTGTGTAGGCTACGTCCATGTACTTGGGCAATACGAAAAACAACTCGCTGTATTCAACAAGATGAGGTAAGAATTTTCCTCCGAAAATTAGACAGGATCTCTAGGTGCGATATAAATATATGTTACATTTTTATTGTATTTCATCAATGAATTGAAGGCACACATTGGCATCACCTTTGATATTTCTCCTTGAAATCATGATTTATTTAGCGTATACTACCATTTGTGTAATTTCATATTGCTAATAATACCTATTATTTGTATAATCGACTTGACATAACACACTAATAAACCGTGTGGTGTGCTGCTTCAGTTCAATTCAATTTACATTTTATTTATCCAGAGGGACAAGTATTGCTGGAAATTAAAGGTGACAGTTGACAGGCTGACTACACATGAAAAATGATTCATATAATTACCACAATATATATATATATATTTTTAAACATCAAGAAGAAATAGGACATACCGTATAGTAACACACAGCAACTTCGATAGTGTTAGTACAATATTAATGCTTGGGCAGTAAAGGGAGCTAGACATTAGTGTAAGTGTGTGAAAGGATAGAGAGGAGGCAGATAGTGCTGGTCAGGGGTGTTGATCAACCTGACGACCTTGGGTACAATTGGGATTATGTGACCCTCAGCTTTATGGTCCGACACCTTAGGAGGCGGAAGTGACAACAAGAGTTCAAATGCTGGGTGTTAATAATGGTATTTTTGCCTTTTTCTCACAGTGCCTCTGTCAAAGCAGATATGGAAGTCAAGCTGAAAGAACTTGAGTGTCACTTCACATGGGGCATAAGGAAGGCTGACATTAAGGACCGGGACAGCATCCCTGAAAAACTCCTGGATCACATATTTCAACTTACTATCGATCCTGAGTCACCTAGATGGAAATAATGTTAGTGCTCTTGAGTATCTTCACAAGGCTGAGAGTGCATTGAAGGACAGACAGAATGATACAGAGTTACTGGTGACCTATGCTAACTCACCTAACTTGGAAAGCTGGAAAACATCAATAAGGATATTCCAAGTGCCTTAAATATTCAAGGCAGCTGGTGAGAAAGGTTGGAGTCTTATCAGGCTTGGGGGATTATTTTATAAGAGGGTAAAAGAGAGCTTCCAGAAAGCTCTTGAGGGGGAACCAGACAATGCATCTTTCAATGTGGGCTATGCCATGGTCCTGTACAGGTTGGAGGGCATGGTCAGGGATAAGAGAGTGAGGTCAGTGATGACTGCAGGTGCCAACCAGCTAAGGAAATCCTTATCCTTGGAGCCTGATAACTCTGAACTTATGGTCCTCCTAGCTCTGAAACTTCAAAACAAAAATAAACAAGAGTCCATGAAACTCACCATAGAGGCCCTCAGACTGTCTCCTGACCAGGGGCGGCCTGTTCAATAGGGCGATATGGGCGACGCACTGCCAAACGGGAAAAGGAAGGGATTTTTTTTCTAATCAATTATATCACGGCAACAGTAGTTATCAGTGTTGTAATCTATACGTCTGATCTGCCACAGTGCCACACTGCCACTAAATGTCGAATCAGGCTAAAGTCGTGCTTCAAATGGCTCCCCCCCCTTTTGGGGCGATTTCAGTCAGGTTGAAAATCGCCCAGAAGTCTGTCATAGACTCCCATGTAAAATCTATTTTTTTTCAAATTTCAGAGCCTTCAATACAATCTCAATGGGTGTCTGTGGGCTTGCACTTACGCGCTTTCGTCATACGTTACGTAACCATGAACGTAACTGAGAAAAGAGTGGATTGTTTGAAAGAAGTTCCTTTTTGTCGGCGAACAAATGAAGATAAATTGGCAACGAAACAATTAGGACCTCCCAGACCAAATTTAATAATTCAACAGGTTTCTACTAAAGGCGGAAAGTCCTACACCCGAGGATTTTCCAAAAATTGGTACGAACGAAAAAAGACATTGCCACTCACTCAACTGGATGACGAGGGATACAGGCTAGCTGTCCGCCGCCACAACGATGAGGTTAGTGTTGATAATCACAAGTTTACTGGAGAACCAACTGAGACCAAGTAGAGACTTTGGACAGGGTGGATATGGTGTAATAAAGGCAGTTTATTCAGAGGTAAATATATCTGGAATCGCGTTCACGGACCCGTTCGTCAAACTCTTAGGGAGCTATAAATTAAGCCCCATTACTTACCATATCAGATAAGAGAAATTGCTGCAGCTACATATATTTTACATCCTGGCCCTACATAGTTCACTATTTGCATCACTTACCAAAATATTACATGTGGTCATATATGCTTGGAAAGTGGAGATGCCATAGAACGTCAAAAAAGTAAACATTGCTGGAGACACATTGCCGTTTTGGAGAAGACATCGCGTTTGCTAGCGAAGAGATTTGTTGTGGCAAATGAACTTGGGCTGGGAATTGCCAGGAACCTCACGATAAGATATATGCATCAGCATTGCGAGTCTCATGATTCTATACGTATTGCGATTCGATACTGTGATTTTATTGCGCACCATATGTCTGTTGCAGAGGGATCAGAAAGCCATGAGAACGAGTTTTGATCAGTCATGGAAATAAAAGTGCTGAAAACAAATTGGCTCCCAATGTGAAAAGATTGAGAACAAGCTATGAAGGAACAATAATGGTGTTTTGGTGCAGGTACAGCCAACTAGCGCTAAAATATTGCGATATTGTCAATACAGTATATCGTAAAGTATCACTATGTAACTCGATTTCTTTCACCCCAATCCCTCAAATTAACGGTAAATAACTGAATTGTTTGCCCCACATTTAGCTAAGATGATTAGCTAGCCAGCTAAAATGTTTTATTTAGTTAGCAGTCGCATCTACAATAGTTTACTGTCAATAACATGTCTCCAAAAATGACGTGGTGTCTCCAATTGTGTTGACATTTTACAATTGCAATGCGCATCCATGAGTATCCACTTTCTGTAGCTCAGCTGGTAGAGCATGGTGCTTGTAACGCCAAGGTAGTGGGTTCGATCCCCGGGACCACCCATACACAAAAATGTATGCACGCATGACTGTAAGTCGCTTTGGATAAAAGCGTCTGCTAAATGGCATATTATTATTATTATTATTATTATTATCTGAAGAGAGCCCCGAAACATTGTGTGCAGACATTTTATGCAATAAATGAAGTAGGTTCAATCTAGTAGTTCTGATCTTCTGATTGGTCCTGATGAGTTGGGCGAGGTCACCTCCAGGCTACTGTCACTGTTGCATTGGCTCTGAGTCGGGTTCTCTGTCTTCAAATGTTCAGCCTAAGAGAGGGGATTTGTGTGTGTGTGTGTGTGTGTGTGTGTGTGTGTGTTTAACAGTGATGATGTGTGTGTGTGTGTGTGTTTAACAGTGATGATGTGTGTGTGTGTGTGTTTGTGTGTGTGTGTGTCCTCAGAGCAAGAACTCGTGAGTTGGAAGAACTGAGAGGCCTATGGCGTGGGTGTTGTCCTTGGCCACCTGCTGACAAGGCTGACAAGATAGGACCCTTTTGTCCATTGTTATTGGATAGGAACAGAACTTATAACCAGCTCCTGACCTAAATAGATCTTAGCACAACATTTTACTCAACATATCATATTCCATATTCACTATAACAAATATATTTACTACGACATTAGCAAGAACCGCCACATCCTCAGCCGGCTAATCCAGTGTGTGAAGTTTTGCGGAGTGTTTGAGTTAGCTTTGCGAGGCAAAGATGAAACTGAGGGCTCCACCAACCCTGGTAAGCCAACACTTTTGAGATCAGTCAATAAATGCTTCTGGTATTGACTTATATGCTGCCCCTGTCTTCATGTTGTTGCTGGACATATCTTTTTTTAAATGTGTGTAGGTCACCTAAATCATCAGAAAAATTGCCCCTCCTGAGAATTTTTTCAGGAGCCGCCACTGCTCCTGACTTGCCTCATGTACTACGTTATGTGGCCAAATATTTCAGATATGAGGGCTCCATCAATGAGTGCCTACAGGTTTTGGGGAAAGCTCTGGAACTGTCTCCACACTCCCATTTCCTCCATCACCAAATCGGCCTTTGTCACAAACAGCAGCTCATCCAGATGTTTGAGCAGAAGAGGAAAGGGGGAAAGGTCAATGGGGGCCAGATAAAAGCCAAGGTGAAGGTCTGTATCCATCACTTCTCCAAAGCTGTGGAGCTGAAGCCCTCCAACATCCACGCCAGGGTGGACCTGGCTCAGGCCTATGGGAACAATTACCAGCTGGAAGAGGCGATGAAGATATTCACTGTCCTTTTAGAGGACAAGTCCCTCAGTCACTCAGAAAAGCAGCTCTGCTACACCAGCTTCGGCCTGCTTCTTTTATACAGGAAGAGAGACAGGGATGGTGCTGTGACAGAGTTCAAAAACGCCTACCAGATTCCGATTGAGAGTTGGGACAGGAAGCAGGCTGGGAAGAAGCTGAAGAAGATTGCAGAGATGTGGCAGGCTAGCAAGAGAGTTGGCGAGGCCTCTGAGATTTTGGCATTCCTCAAACAGGAGAGGTAGTCTGAGGACACAGACGACCTGACAGATTCTTTCGGCAAAGGAATGAAACTCAAATTATATCCCTAACTATAACACAATGTATGGCTTACATAGAAACATTGCTCCATGCATTTTAACGTTTTTAATGGTGAAGTGAAACGTAAAGTTCAAGTTGGGCGTACGCATCTCTGGTTTTACGCTTTTTGTTTTTTTTGTAAAATTTGCAAATAAAAATTGAGTTCAAATGTATTACTTTTGGAAAACATATTTTTCTATGTGTGAAGATGGGCCAGGTAGTGTCACACAGCTCAGTTGTCTGAGTACAATTGTACCATGTGGCTGCATGATACATCTTGCAATAAAACAACTAGGCCTATAAAAAAAAATATTGTAAGTGATATTCTAAGTTCTAAAGTTGGTTATTCATCATGTAAATAAGCATTGTTAAAAAACAACAGTGATTGTAGTGTCACTAGTGTTGAAAAAACAATTTGAATATTTACTCGCTGGAAAATAATATTTCTACAATCCTCTCCTCTCTACCCCTGATATGACCTTCTCCTTTCCCCCTTTAATAGTACACAGCGCCAGTACATGGTCAATAATTGCAGCACAGGAATTATCTTTAAGCAGACATTCTTATTGAATAAGTTGTTGATGGCACTGCTTTTCTATTCACGGTTTAAAAACGTTGTCACATGATGATCGCAAGTCAATAGCCTATATACCACCATCTTTGGTAGGCTACAGTGCAAAACGCTAATAAATTACGTATTGACACTTGTCAGAATGTAAACTTTGGTAATACAGCTACGCCTCAGTTTCGGTTTCCTGACTTTTACGAGCTGCAGGGCTATATATTGCCATGGAGTGAGTAAGTTTTGGCTGTGTAGGCTACGTCCATGTACTTGGGCAATACAAAAAACAACTCGCTGTATTCAACAAGATGAGGTAAGAATTTTGTACCTTGGATACAATTGTGATTATGTGACCCTCAGCTTTATGGTCAGACACTTTGGGAGGCAGAAGTGACAACAACAGTTAAAATACTGGGTGTTAATAATGGTATTTTTACCTTTTTCTCAAGTGCCTCAGTCAAAGCATATACAGTGGCTTGCGAAAGTATTCACCCCCCTTGGCATTTTTACTATTTTGTTGCCTTACAACCTGGAATTCAAATTGATTTTTTTGGGGTTTGTATAATTTGATTTACACAACATGCCTACCACTTTGAAGATGCAAAATATTTTTATTGTGCAACAAACGAGAAATAAGAAAAAAAAAAAAAAAAAACAGAACACTTGAGCGTGCATAACTATTCACCCCCCCAAAGTCAATACTTTGTAGAGCCACCTCTTGCACCAATTACAGCTGCAAGTCTCTTGGGGTATGTCTCTATAAGCTTGGCACATCTAGCCACTGGGATATTTGCCCATTCTTCAAGGTAAACCTTCTCCAGCTCCTTCAAGTTGGATGGGTTCCGCTGGTGTACAGCAATCTTTAAGTCATACCACAGATTCTCAATTGGATTGAGGTCTGGGCTTTGACTTGGCCATTCCAAGACATTTAAATGTTTCCCCTTTAACTACTCGAGTGTTGCTTTAGCAATATGCTTAGGGTCATTGTCCTGTTGGAAGGTGAACCTCCGTCCCAGTCTCAAATCTCTGGAAGACAGGTTTCCCTCAAGAATTTCCCTGTATTTAGCGCCATCCATCATTCCTTCAATTCTGAACAGTTTCCCAGTCCCTGACAATGAAAAACATCCCCCCAGCATGATGCTGCCACCACCATGCTTCCCTGTGGAGATGGTGTTCTCGGGGTGATGAGAGGTGTTGGGTTTGCGCCAGACATAGCGTTTTCCTTGATGGCCAAAAAGCTCAATTTTAGTCTAATCTGACCAGAGTACCTTCTTCCATATGTTTGGGGAGTCTCCCACATGCCTTTTGGCGAATACCAAACGTGTGTGCTTATTTTTTTCTGTAAGCAATGGCTTTTTTCTGGCCACTCTTCCACAAAGCCCAGCTCTGTGTAGTTTACGGCTTAAAGTGGTCCTATGGACAGATACTCCAATCTCTGCTGTGGAGCTTTGCAGCTCCTTCAGGATTATCTTTGGTCTCTTTGTTGCCTCTCTGATTAATGCCCTCCTTGCCTGGTCCGTGAGTTTTGGTGGGCGGCCCTCTCTTGGCAGGTTTGTTGTGGTGCCATATTCTTTCAATTTTTTAATAATGGATTTAATGGTGCTCTGTGGGATGTTCAAAGTTTTGGATACTTTTTTATAACCCAACCTTGATCTGTACTTCTCCACAACTTTGTCCCTGACCTGTTTGGAGAGCTCCTTGGTCATCATGGTGCCGCTTGCTTGGTGGTGCCCCTTGTTTAGTGGTGTTGCAGACTCTGGGGCCTTTCAGAACAGGTGTATATATACTGAGATCGTGTGACAGATCATGTGACACTTAGATTGCACACAGGTGGACATTATTTAACTAATTATGTGACTTCTGAAGGTAATTGGTTGCACCAGATCTTATTTAGGGACTTCATAGCAAAGGGGGTGAATACATTTTTGAAACAAGTTATTTTCTTCATTTCACTTCTCCAATTTGGACTATTTTATGTATGTCCAATGTGGGCTATGCCATGGTCCTGTACAGGTTGGAGGGCATGGTCAGGGATAAGAGAGTGAGGTCAGTGATGACTGCAGGTGCCAACCAGCTAAGGAAGGCTTTATTCTTGGAGCCTGATAACTCTGAACTTATGGTCCTCCTAGCCCTGAAGCTTCAAAAAAATCTAGAAAACAAACTTGAGTCCATGAAACTCATCAAAGAGGCCCTCAGACTGTCTCCTGACTTGCCTCATGTACTACGTTATGTGGCCAAATATTTCAGATATGAGAGCTCCATCAATTAGAGCCTACAGGTTTTGGAGAAAGCTCGGGAACTGTCTCCAAACTCCCATTTCCTCCATCACCAAATCTGCCTTTGTCACAAACAGCAGCTCATCCAGATGTTCGAGCAGAACAGGACATGGGGACGAGTCAATGGGGGCCAGATAAAAGCCAAGGTGGAGGTCTGCATCCATCACTTCTCCAGAGCTGTGGAGCTGAAGCCCTCCAACATTCACGCCAGGGTGGACCTGGCTCAGGCCTATGAGAACAACTACGAGCTGGAGGAGGTGATGAAGATCTTCATCAACCTTGTCACGCCCTGACTCTGAGGACTTGTATTTGTTGAGTCAGGGTGTGTATCTTCTGTGTTGGGTTTGCTAGTTTGTTTTCTATGTTTTAGATCTAGAATGTGTAGATCTATGTTGGCCGGGGTGGTTCCCAATCAGAGGCAGCTGTAGCTCGTTGTCTCTGATTGGGGACCATACTTAGGCAGCCGTTTGACACCTGTTAGTTGTGGGATCTTGTTCCGTGTAAGGTATGTTGTTTGTATGCTACCTTGGACTTCACGTTTTGTTTGTTGTTTTGTCGTGTGTTTAGCTGTAAATAAATATGAATGCATATCACGCTGCGCCTTGGTCCTTCTCGTTCGTAAACGATCGTGACAAACCTGGTGAAAGATTAATTCCTCAATGACTCTGACAAGCAGCACTGCTACACCAGCTTCGGCCTGTTTCTGTTTCACAAGAAGAAAGATGAGGACAGGGCTGTGACACAGTTCAAAAAGGCCTACCAGATTCAGATTGAGAGTTGGGACAGGAAGGAGGCTGGGAAGAAGCTGAAGCAGATAGCAGAGAGGTGTCAGGCTAGCAAGAAGAGAGTTGGCGAGGCCTCTGAGATTTTGGCGTTCCTCGCCACTGAAGACAAATAGGGGAGAAAGTCTGAAGAGCCAAGGAGAGTCAATATGCACTCTCCAGACACAGATGACCTTACAGATGCCCTAGGCAAAGGAATGAAACTCAAATGATTTATCTTAATTTAACACAACGCATGGCTTACATAGGAATACTGCTAAATGCATTTTAATGGTTTTAATCGTAGAGTAACATTCACTTCAAGTTGCGTGTATGTTTCTTAAGTTTGATTTTGTGTAAAGATTTGCAAAGAAAATTCAAGTAAGAATGTATTACTTTTGCAACCAAAACAATTTTATGTCTTTGGATGTGTCGTCCCCTGTCGCGTAGTTGATTAGATATCTTCACTGACTGTTAAACTGTTGTTGCTCAAACTAACATTAACATTGTGAAGAAATAATAAAGACAGTACCAAAAACTTGATTATGTTTGAGCTTGTTCAACTGCAATGTTTTTTCTACTTTGTTCCTAAAGCCAACATTGCTTAATAAATGGAACCACGTCAGATATTTAAGTGTCCTATTGCTCCCTTTAAGTATCTCCATGCTTGCATTTTGATTGAAGTTTGGAGGGACTCACTCGAAGTCTGACAGACAGTGAGTCTACCTACCACTTAGTAATAGGGAACAATAAGAAATGTAAATATTTTGATGTTGTTTAAGAGATATTCCATGAGAAAATAAAATCTATTTCATTACAGATATTAAAGGTCCAATGCAGCATTTTTTTTTTTTTATATCAATATCAAATCATTTCTGGGTAACAATGAAGTACCTTACTGTGATTGTTTTCAATTAAAATGTTCCAAAAAAAACAAAAATAGCTTCATAGCAAAGAGCAATTTCTCAATCAAGAATTTTGCTAGGACTGTCTGGGAGTGTTTGAGTGGGGAGGGGAAAACTGAAAATTAGCTGTTATTGGCAGAGAGGTTTGGAACTCTTCCTTATTGGTCTATTAACTAATTTACCACATTGGTGTCACCATGAAAGGCCAAAACTTACACTAAAGGGGCATTATCATGATTTTCACAATTTCACAGTACTGTTCCAACCTCATAGTGTGGAAATATATAGAAAGCACAGGAAAATCACATTTTTGACTGCACTGGGCCTTTAACAAGTGTAGTGAGTAGGCTACATATAAGGGGTTTAGCTAAGGCTCTTGTGACAGTGAAATTGCAAACTGTTGTGATGCCATACAGGTTGAGGTTTCTTTTTAGAGTGAGGGGGGCAGGGGTTTGGGTAAAGCCCCGTCTGAGACAGTAATTTTACATTCCACTATTATAATCTAACAGCCAACAGGTCTAGCCACTAGCCTCTATAAGGTGAACAAGTGGTAGCCTAAGCGATATAACTGTGACAAATAGCCTATATAACGGAGAAGATGCCCCTGTATCCTTCGTTCCTCCAATCCTTGAAGATCGATAGATGGATAGTGAAATGAGATATTACGCTAGGCTACCAACCAAGTCATGCCAGATTAGTGATTATTTCTTTATAGCCTGTATAGCCTTTCATCATTATCTAATAGGCCTATATAAGAAAGGGAGAATGCTTCCATTAATATATTCAAACAGTACCTCAGATTAGCTGGTTTGCGCATGCAGGAGTGATCCTTGAGTTACCTCTCCTCCCACAGACACTTGCGTAAAACCCCTGCTTCATTGTTCATTCCTCCCACAGCCATTGGATGGGCCTATAATTTCACTTGCCCACTGTAATTTACGATAAGCCTACAGGTTAGGGTACTCAATATAGGTTTATAATGGGCTGCAAAATAGCGGTGTTGTAGCGAATTTGGAGAGCAGCTTGACATGGGACATACACACGCATAGCCCCTGGTCTCCAGGATACCAAGATAATTTGTTTCATTGGGTGTGCTCATGTAGCCTACTAGCCTATAGTCGTTAGAAGGATAGTTGCCATAAGGGGGAAATACTACTGTTGGTAAAACACCATGGATAAGGTTGTTAACAGTTGCCATTATGCACAGATTTTTTACAAGGTGTTCACCTAGACTACGCAGCAGAACGTTGTATAGCGAATTCGGAGGGCAGACTGACAGGGACTCAACCCCAGTTCTCTTCGCATTCAGTGACAGTGCCAAAAAAGTGTTTTGTTTGTGCTGTTAGAAGAGTTTATGCCTATAGTCTGAAATTGCCCTTTCACACCTGGACAAAAGGAACACCTATGTGAGAATGCTCTTCATTGACTACAGCTCAGCGTTCAACACCATAGTGCCCTCAAAGCTCATCACTAAGCTAAGGACCCTGGGACTAAACACCGCCCTCTGGAACTGGATCCTGGACTTCCTGACGGGCCGCCCCCAGGTGGTAACGGTAGGTAACAACACATCCGCCACGCTGATCCTCAACACGGGGGCCCCTCTGGGGTGCATGCTCAGTCCCCTCCTGTACTCCCTGTTCACTCATGACTGCATGGCCAGGCACGACTCCAACACCATCATTACGTTTGCTGATGACACAACAATGGTAGGCCTGATCACCGACAACGATGAGACAGCCTATAAGGAGGAGGTCAGAGACCTGGCCGTGTGGTGCCAGGGCAACAACCTCTCCCTCAATGTGATCAAGACAAAGGAGATGATTGTGGACTACAGGAAAAAGAAGAGGACCGAGCACGCCCCCATTCTCATCGACGGGGCTGTAGTGGAGCAGGTTGAGAGCTTCAAGTTCCTTGGTGTCCACATCACCAACAAACGAACATGGTCCAAGCACTCCAAGACAGTCATGAAGAGGGCACGACAAAACCTATTCCCCCTAAGGAGACTGAACAGATTTTGCATGGGTGCTCAGATCCTCAAAAGGTTCTACAGCTGCACCATCGAGAGCATCCTGACTGGTTGCATCACTGCCTGGAATGGCAACTGCTCGGCCTCCAACCGCAAGGCACTACAGAGGGTAGTGCGTACGGCCCAGTACATCACTGGGGCCAAGCTTCCTGCCATCCAGGACCTCTATACCAGGCGGTGTCAGAGGAAGGCCCTAAAAATTGTCAAAGACTTCAGCCACCCTAGTCATAGACTGTTCTCTCTGCTACCACACGGCAAGCGGTACCAGAGCGCCAAGTCTAGGTCCAAGAGGGTTCTAAACAGCTTCTACCCCCAAGCCATAAGACTCCTGAACATCTAATCAAATGGCTACCCAGACTATTTGCATTGCATACTACATACTAGATGGCAGCAGTGTGTGTGCAACGTTTCAGATTGATCCAGTGAAGCATTGCAATACTGGACTATTTTGTATCAAGTCTGCCCATATGTGCCAAATTGGTCAATTGATACATTTTCAAGTACATAACTATAGAGAACATACAAAAAATATATGTTAATACAAAATGTACAACATTAGCGCACGTTAGCTCAACCGTCCCGTATACGGGACACCGGTCCCATAGAGGTTAACCTATAGCTTAGAGAGTCTAACAGCTAGGGCGATGACAAAAGCAAAGGTTCAGAATAGAGAAGGGACATTCAGAATATAAGTATGTTTTGTAATCTTGTATATTTGTATTTGTAAATTGTGTACTGTATATGCAGGGCTCCCTTGTAAAATAGATATTGGTCTCAATGGGACTCCCTGCTAAAATAAAGGTGAAATGAAACATAACAAATAAATAGGGGGAACAAAACGTATGTGCGTAATGGCAACTATTAGCAACCTTATCCATGGTGTTTTACTAACAATAGTATTTACCCCTTATGGCAACTATCCTTCTAACGTCTATAGGGTAGTAGGCTACGTGAGCACACCCAATGAAACAAATTATCTTGGATCCTGGAGACAGGGGGCTATGCATTTGTATGGCAAGGGCAGGCTTAGTGATTTGGAGGCCCCAGGCATAGGCCAGTCTGAAAATGTTTTATGGCTTTTATAGTAAAGACATGTAATTTAACTGTAAAATGTACTACCTTTTAACGTGCCATGAACATAACCAATCATGATGTTTTTGTCCGATTGTCAGACAAATCACTTCACATTTTACATTTACATTTTAGTCATTTAGCAGACGCTCTTATCCAGAGCGACTTACAGGAGCAATTAGGGTTAAGTGCCTTGCTCAAGGGCACAGACAGACTTTTCACCTAGTCAGCTCGGGGATTAGAACCAGTGACCTTTCGGTTACTGGCACAACGCTCTTAACCACTAAGCTACCTGCCGCCCCGCACGTTCATCCAAATTAATTCTAACATCTGAACAGGGCACTATTCACCTGCCAACTATCCTTCAACTCAATTCGCCAGTGTTTGACACTATCTCATCGGAGAAAGCATCTGAGGGAGTGAAACAGCGCCCCTCTGTCTTACTATATGTAACACATGTATCTGATGCTGTCTGGCCAAAAAGTGCATGACATGCCATACTCTTCTTGGCCAGACAGCATCAGATACATGGGTTACACATACATGTCCTCTGCCTTCAAATTGTATTTGTCACATGCGCCGAATACAACAGGTGTAGACCTTACCGTGAAATGCTTACTTACAAGCCCTTAACCAACAATGAAGTTCAAGAAATAGAGTTAAGAAAATATTTACTAAATAAACTAAAGTAAAAAATAAACTAAAAAGTAATACAATAAAATAACAATAACGAGGCTATATACAGGGGGTACCGGTACTGAGTCAATGTGCAGGCGTACAGGTTAGTCGAGGTAATTTGTACATGTAGGTAGGGGTAAAGTGACTATGCATAGATAATAAACAGCAAGTAGCAGCAGTGTAAAAACAAGGGGGGAGGGGGTCAATGTAAATAGTCCGGGTGGCCATTTGATTAATTGTTCAGCAGTTTTATGGCTTGGGGGTAGAAGCTGTTAAGGAGCCTTTTGGACCTTGACTTGGCACTCCGGTAGCAGAGAGAACAGTCTATGACTTGGGTGACTGGAGTCTTTGACAATTTTTAGGGCCTTCCTCTGACAACGCCTGGTATAGAGGTCCTGGATGGCAGGAAGCTTGGCCCCAGTGATGTACTGGGCCGTATGCACTACCCTCCGTAGTGTCTTGCGGTTGGATGCCGAGCAGTTGCCATAACAGGCAGTGATGCAACCAGTTAGGATGCTCTCGATGGTGCAGCTGTAGAACTTTTTGAGGATCTGGGGACCCATGCCAAATCCTTTCAGTCTTCTGAGGGGGAAAAGGTGTTGTCGTACCCTCTTCACAACTGTCTTGGTGTGTTTGGACCATGATAGTTTGTTGGTGATGTGGACACCAAGGAACTTGAAACTCTCGACCCGCTCCACTACAGCCCTGTCGATGTGAATAATAACAATAATAATAACAAATAATAATGGGTATTTTTCTCTTTCCTCACAGCGCCTCTGTCAAAGCAGATATGGAAGTCAAGGTGAAGGCACTTGTGTGTCACTTTACATAGGGAATAGAAAAGGCTGACATTAAGGACCGGGACAGCCTCCCTGAAAAACTCCTGGATGGCGTCATGAGGTTCAGCACTCTGAAATACCATGCCACATATTTACATTTACTAGCGTTTCTGACCCACCTGGAAGAAAACAATATTATCTCTCTTGAGTATCTCCACAAGGCTGAGAGTGCATTGAAGGACAGACAGGATGATACAGGGTTACTGGTAACCTATGCTAACTTTGCATGGGTTCACTATCACTCAGGAAACATTGATGATGTGGATGCCTACATTGGAAAGCTGGAAAACATCAACAAGGATATTCCAAGTGCTTTAAATATTCAAGGCAGCTTACCTTCAGTACATGGTGAGAAAGTTTGGAGCCTAATCAGGCTTGGGGGAGTATTTTATAAGAGGGTAAAAGAGAGCTTCCAGAAAGCTCTTGAGGGGAAACCAGACAATGCATCTTTCAATATGGGCTATGCCATGGTCCTGTACAGGTTAGAGGGCATGGTCAGGGATAAGAGAGTGAGGTCAGTGATGACTGCAGGTGCCAACCAGCTAAGGAAGACCGTATCGCTTACAATAAAAACGTGTAAATGTTATTCTAATTTCTAAAGTTGGTTATTCATCACGTAAATAAGCATTGTTCAAAAAACAACTAGTGATTGTAGAGTCACTAGTGTTGAAAAATCAATTTGAATATTTACTCGCTGGAAAATAATATTTCTACAATCCTCTCCTCTCCTCTCTACCCCTGATATGACCTTCTCCTTTCCCCCTTTAATAGTACACAGCGCCAGTACATGGTCAATATTGAATAAGTTGTTGATGGCACTGCTTTTCTATTCACGGTTTAAAAACGTTGTCACATGATGATCGCAAGTCAATAGCCTATATACCACCATCTTTGGTAGGCTACAGTGCAAAATTAATAAATGACGTATTGGCACTCATCAGAATCGAAACTTTGACAATAGAGCTACGCCTCAGTTTCGGTTTCCTGACTTGAACGAGCTGCAGGGCTATATATTGCCATGGAGTGAGTAAGTTTCGGCTGTGTAGGCTACGTCCATGTACTTGGGCAATACGAAAAACAACTCGCTGTATTCAACAAGATGAGGTAAGAATTTTCCTCCGAAAATTAGACAGGATCACTTGGTGCGATATAAATATATGTTACATTTTTATTGTATTTCATCAATGAATTGAAGGCACACTTTGGCATCACCTGTGATATTTCTCCTTGAAATCATGATTTATTTAGCGTATACTACCATTTGTGTAATTTCGTATTGATAATAATACCTATTATTTGTATAATCGACTTGACATAACACACTAATAAACCGTGTGGTGTGCTGCTTCAGTTCAATTCAATGTACATTTGATTTATCCAGAGGGACAAGTATTGCTGGAAATTAAAGGTGACAGTTGACAGGCTGACTACACATGAAAAATGATTAATATAATTACCACAATATATATATTTTTAAACATCAAGAAGAAATAGGACATACCGTATAGTCACACACAGCAACTTCGATAGTGTTAGTGCAATATTAATGCTTGGGCAGTAAAGGGAGCTAGACATTAGTGTAAGTGTGTGAAAGGATAGAGAGGAGGCAGATAGTGCTGGTCAGGGGTGTTGATCAACCTGACGACCTTGGGTACAATTGGGATTATGTGACCCTCAGCTTTATGGTCCGACACCTTAGGAGGCGGAAGTGACAACAACAGTTAAAATGCTGGGTGTTAATAATAGTATTTTTTGCCTTTTTCTCACAGTGCCTCGGTCAAAGCAGATATGGAAGTCAAGCTGAAAGAACTTGAGTGTCACTTCACATGGGGCATAAGGAAGGCTGACATTAAGGAACTGGACAGCATCCCTGAAAAACTCCTGGATCGAATCATGAAGTTCTGCCTTTCAAAATACCATGCCACATATTTCAACTTGCTAGCGTTTCTGAGCCACCTAGAGGGAAATAATGTTAGTGCTCTTGAGTATCTCCACAAGGCTGAGAGTGCATTGAAGGACAGACAGAATGATACAGAGTTACTGGTAACCTATGCTAACTTTGCCTGGGTTCACTATCACTCTGGGAACATGGATGATGTGGATGCCTACCTTGGAAAGCTGGAAAACATCAATAAGGGTATTCCGAGGGCCTCAAAGATTCAAGGTAGCTTACCTTCAGTACATGGTGAAAAAGGTTGGAGCCTTATCAGGCTTGGGGGATTCTTTTATAAAAAGGTAAAAGAGAGCTTCCAGAAAGCTCTTGAGGGGGAGCCAAACAATGCATCTTTCAATGTGGGCTATGCAATGGTCCTGTACAGGTTGGAGGGCATGGTCAGGGATACGAAAGTGAGGTCAGAGGAAAGTGAAGCTACCACTCAGCTAAGGAAGGCGTTATCCTTGGAGCCTGATAACTCTGAGGTTATGGTCCTCCTAGCCCTGAAACTTCAGAACAAAAATAAACAAGAGTCCATGAAACTCATCATAGAGGCCCTCAGACTGTCTCCTGACGTGCCTCACGTCACGCGTTACGTGGCAAAGTTCTTCAGATACGAGGGCTCCGTCAATGAGTCCCTACACATTTTGGGGAAAGCTCTGGAGCTGTCTCCAAACTCCCATTTCCTCCATCACCAAATCGGCCTATGTCACAAACAGCAGCTCAGTCAGATGTTCGAGCAGAAGAGGAAAGGGGGACGAGTCAATGGGGGCCAGATAAAAGCCAAGGTGGAGGTCTGCATCCGTCACTTCTCCAGAGCTGTGGAGCTGAAGCCCTCAAACATCCACGCAAGGGTGAACCTGGCTGACGCCTACGGGAACAACTACCAGCTGGAGGAGGCGATGAAGATCTTCATCAACCTGGAGAAAGATGAATCACTCATTGACTCAGACAAGCAGCACTGCTACACCAGCTTCGGCCTGTTTCTGTTCCACAAGAAGAAAGATGATGGCAGGGCTGTGACACAGTTCAAAAAGGCCTACCAGATTCAGAATGAGAGTTGGGACAGGAAGGAGGCTGGGAAGAAGCTGAAGCAGATAGCAGAGAGGTGTCAGGCTAACAAGAAGAGAGTTGGCGAGGCCTCTGAGATTTTGGCGTTCCTCGCCACTGAAGACAAAGAGGGGAGAAAGTCTGAAAAAAATAAAGAGCCAAGGAGAGTCAATATGCACTCTCCAGACACAGATGACCTTACAGATGCCCTAGGCAAAGGAATGAAACTCAAATGATTTATCTTATTGTAACACAACGCATGGCTTACATAGGAATACTGCTAAATGCATTTTAATGGTTTTAATCGTGGAGTAACATTCACTTCAAGTTGCGTGTATGCTTCTTAAGTTTGATTTTGTGTAAAGATTTGAGTAAGAATGTATTACTTTTGCGAGAAAAAAATGTATGTCTTTGGATGTGTCCCCTGTCGTGTAGTTGATTAGATATCTTCACTGACTGTGAAACTGTTGTTGCTTAAACTGACATTAACATTGTGAAGAAATAATAAAACACTGTTCCAAAGTCTTGATTATCTTTTGTGCTTGTTAAATTGCACAGTTTTTTCTACTTATTTCCTAAAGCCAACATTGCTTAATAAATGGAACCACGTCAGATATTTAAGTGTCCTATTGCTCCCTCTAAGTATCTCCATGCTTGCACTTTGATTTAAATTTGGAGGGAGTTTGACAGACAGTGAGTCTAGCTACCACTGACTTAACATGGAACAATAAGAAATGTCATTATTTTGATTTGTTTAAAACAAAATAAAATGTATTTCATTACAGATATTAAAGGTTCAATGCAGCTGTTTTTTCTTCTTCTCAATATCAAATCATTTCTGGGTAACAATGAAGTACCCTACTGTGATTGTTTTCAATTAAAATGGTCAAAAAGAAACAAAAATAGCAAAGAGCAATTTCTCAAGCAAGAATTTTGCTAGATCTGTCTGGGAGTGGTTTGAGCAGGGAGGGGAAAACTGAAAATTAGCTGTTATAGGCAGAGATGTTTGGAACTCTTTCTTATTGGTCTATTAACTAAGTTACCGCATGGTGATGTCACCATGGAAGGCCAAAACAGGCTGACATTTCTTTCCAAACAGCTCTTACACTAATTTTAACAATTTCAAGGTACTATTCCAATCTCATAGTGTGGAAATATATATAGAACACAGGAAATTCACGTTTTTGACTGCACTGGGCCTTTAACAAGTTTAGTGAGTAGGCTACATATAAGGGGTTAGGCTATGGCTCTGGTGACAGTAAAATTGCAAATTGTTGTGCTGCCATACAGGTTCTACAATAGTTAGGAAGAGATTTTCAATGTACCAATTCCATGGCATATGGTTTATGAACTGATACATAAACGAGAGCTCAGTTGGTAGAGCATGGCGTTTGCAACGCCAGGGTTGTGGGTTCGATTCCCACGGGGGGCCAGTATGAAAAATGTATGCACTCACTAACTCTAAGTCGCTCTGGATAAGAGCGTCTGCTAAATGACTAAAATGTAAACGTAAATAAACAACACCGAATTAAAAAATGTATCGCTTCCTGAGTGGAGCAGGGGTCTAAGGCACTGCATCGCAGTGCTTGAAGCGTCACCACAGACCTGGGTTCGATCCCAGGCTGTGTCACAACTGGCCGTGCCGGGCGTCCCATAGGGCGGCGCACAATTGGCCCAGCCTCGTCCTGGTTAGGGGAGGGTTTGGCCGTGGGGGCTTTACTTGGCTCATCGTGCTCTTGTGGCGCGCCAGGCGCCTGCAGGCTGACTTCGGTTGTCTCTTGAACAGTGTTTCCTCTGTCACATTGGTGCAGCTGGCTTCTGGGTTAAGCGGGTGAGTGTTAAGAAGCGTGGGTCATGTTTCGGAGGACGCATGACTCGACCGTTGCCTCTCCCGAGCCTGTTGCAGTGATGAGACAAGATTGAAAAAGGGGGTTAAATAATAATACATTTGTATATAACATTCTTGCACCCAATAGAATGTTATAAACTCAGCAAAAAAAGAAACGTCCCTTTTTCAGGACCCTGTCTTTCAAAGATAATTTGTAAAAATCCAAATAACTTCACAGATCTTCATTGTAAAGGGTTTAAACACTGTTTTCCATGCTTGTTCAATGAACCATAAACAATTAATGAACATGCACCTGTGGAATGGTCGTTAAGACACTAACAGCTTACAGACGGTAGGCAATTAAGGTCACAGTTATGAAAACTTAGGACACTAAAGAGGCCTTTTTACTGACTCTGAAAAACATCAAAAGAAAGATGCCCAGGGTCCCTGCTCATCTGCGTGAACGTGCCTTAGGCATGCTGAAAGGAGACATGAGGACTGCAGATGTGGCCAGGGCAATAAATTGCAATGTCCGTACTGTGAGACGCCTATGACAGCGCTACAGGGATACAGGACAGACGGCTGATCGTCCTCGCAGTGGCAGACCATGTGTAACAACACCTGCACAGGATCGGTACATCCGAACATCACACCTGCGGGACAGGTACAGGATGGCAACAACAACTGCCCGAGTTACACCAGGAACGCACAATCCCTCCATCAGTGCTTGGACTGTCCACAATAGGCTGAGAGAGGCTGGACTGAGGGCTTGTAGGCCTGTTGTAAGGCAGGTCCTCACCAGACATCACCGGCAACAACGTTGCCTATGGGCACAAACCCACCTTCGCTGGTCCAGACAGGACTGGCAAAAAGTGCTCTTCACTGACGAGTCGCGGTTTTGTCTCACCAGGGGTGATGGTCGGATTCGTGTTTATCGTCGAAGGAATGAACGTTACACCGAGGCCTGTACTCTGGAGCGGGATTGATTTGGACGTGGAGGGTCCGTCATGGTCTGGGGCGGTGTGTCACAGCATCAGCATTCTCAACGCTGTGCGTTACAGGGAAGACATCCTCCTCCCTCATGTGGTACCCTTCCTGCAGGCTCATCCTGACATGACCCTCCAGCATGACAATGCCACCAGCCATACTGCTCGTTCTGTGCGTGATTTCCTGCAAGACAGGAATGTCAATGTTCTGCCATGGCCAGCGAAGAGCCCGGATCTCAATCCCATTGAGCACGTCTGGGACCTGTTGGATCGGAGGGTGAGGGCTAGGGCCATTCCCCCCAGAAATGTCAGGGAACTTGCAGGTGCCTTGGTGGAAGAGTGGGGTAACATCTCACAGCAAGAACTGGCAAATCTGGGGCAGTCCATGAGGAGGAGATGCACTGCAGTACTTAATGCAGCTGGTGGCCACACCAGATACTGTCTGTTACTTTTGATTTTGACCCCCCCCCCCTTTGTTCAGGGACACATTATTCAATTTATGTTAGTCACATGTCTGTGGAACTTGTTCAGTTTATGTCTCAGTTGTTGAATCTTGTTATGTTCATACAAATATTTACACATGTTAAGTTTGCTGAAAATAAACGCAGTTGACAGTGAGAGGACATTTCTTTTTTTGCTGAGTTTATATTCCAAATGTCCATATTATTATAAGTATAAGGACCTGTAAGTGGTTGTTCCTCAGATTGGGTTTTTCCAGAAGGAGGAACCACACGGATTTGGTAGAGGTATATCATCCAAGTCCGTGTGGTTACAGTCATAGGTAGAGACGGGTGGGTTGTGTGTGTATGCAGTGTGTGTTTGTGGGCGGTAAAAAGTAGGGGCAAAACAATCAAATGGCCATCAATCTAATGATCTAATACACGGGATCAAGGAGGCCTCACTGCATTCTCATGCTTATCAATCTAATGATCTAATAACTCGTTCAAACAGGCGTCACTGCGCACCTGGTGACCTGGTGAAACTATACTTTAGAATTGGCTTCAGTAACAAGGAAATATTTGATATTTTAGCACATAATAACCATATTATTATAAGTAGGCCTTTTAGGACCTGGTAGAGGTTGTGCCACCGATTATGTTTGGAAGGAGGAACCACACGGAATTGGATGAGGTATTTAATCCAAGTCCGTGTGGTTACATACATATTGTAGGTAGAGACAGGTAGGTTGTGTGTGTATGCAGGTGTCACACACACACACACACACACACACACATGGTATCCCCAAAGCAATACCCTTCTAACGGCCATGGTGCGTTGTCAGTCTGCGAAGAAACATGGAGTTGCGTGGAGACATGGTGCCCTTCGAATTCGCAACAATGTTATTTATCCTCAATCCCCTGCATATGCCAACACCGTGCATTGTATATTTTAGAGAGTAACAGGCCAGCAGCCTATATGTTGAAACGAAAGGTTAACTAACATGTTTGTACGTAATGGCATGGTGTTTTATGTACGCTACACTTCCAATGAAGTAACCTCATAGGCCTATGGTATTATCTTTTGAGTGTAGGTTACAGATTGCGTGGAGAAGGATTGTGCGTCCTGTCGGACCCAAGCGCTGCCCCCTAAACCCTTTCATGGACCTTGCCACGGAGCAAGGTTGCAAGTGTTTGGGTAAAGTCCCGTCTGAGACAGTAATTTTACGTTCCACTATTATAATCTAACAGCCAACAGGTCTAGCCACTAGCCTCTATAAGGTGAACAGGTGGTAGCCTAAGCGATATAACTGTGACAAATAGCCTATATAACGGAGAAGATGCCACTGTTTTGGGATAACCTATGCATCTTTCATTCCTCCTATCCTTGAAGATCGATAGATGGATAGTGAAATGAGATATTACGCTAGGCTACCAACCAAGTCATGCCAGATTAGTGATTATTTCTTTATGGCCTACCATCATTATCTAATAGGCATATTTACATTAATATTATTTGAAGAAAGGGGGAAATACTACCGTTAGTAAAGCACCATGAATAAGGTCGTTAATAGTTCCCATTATGCACAGATTTTTAGCAAGGTGTTCGCCTAGGCGACGAAGCACAACGTTGTATAGCGAATTCGAAGGGCAGACTGACTAGGACTCAACCCCAGTTCACTTCGCATTCAGTGACAGTGCCAAAAAAGTGTTTTGTTTGTGCTCATAATGCACCGTGGCCGTTAGAAGAGTTTATGCCTATAGTCTGAAATTACCAGGGGGAAACATGGTGTGTGTGTGTGTGTGTGTGTGTGTGTGCGAGTCTGCGAGTCATTCGATCATTAGATTGATAAACGGGAGTGCCAGTGACGCCTGTTTGAACGAGTGTATTAGATCATTAGATTGATGGCCATTTGTTTGTTTTGACTCTACTTTTAGCGCCCACACACATACCTGCATACACACACAACCCACCCATCTCT